TTTTTTAAAACCATTATCTTTGTATAAAATATAATTTACACCTTAGACTTTTTTTAAAGAACGAAATTTAAAATGATCCTTGAACTTGTAAAATTGTAGTTTTAAGTTCGCGTAATTAGCGAAGAAGCATGAAACAGACTTTTAAGTGTATAAATTTATATAGATATATATTTTTGTATAAATACACCTTAATCACTACAGAGAGCTCTCACATGCTCACTTACAACACTACTAATTTTTTCAGCAGCGTAGTTAGGCACTAAAATAGGAAAATAATCAGCTTCATACCTGAAGAATTTCTTTTGTTGAAGTAATCTATGCCAAGCTAACTCCTCTTACTACGAAATTTTATTTCGTACCAAGGTTTACTTCTCTAGCAGCGTTGACTATCATTTAGTCAGATTTCATATGATTGCTCAGGAACTCGATCAAATGACTGTGGTCGATCTCTATGGTAGATATTTCAACTATTGCATAAATTATAATTTCGTTATCTCCCACCGATCATGGATGCATTTTCTTTACGTCATAGATATAAATTACGATAACTTATTTATATCTTTATCAACTGCAAGTTGAGTTAAGTAACTTCACAAGATTTGCGGTGAAGATTGTGAGATATTATTTTTATTAACATTTTAATACTTTCAAATTATTTTGCATTTTTATTTTTCTAGTAGAGTAACTTCTTTTCAAATAACGATTTAATTCAATTTATTAGTAATGTTATGTAATTCTAGTTCAACTTAACCATAGCTTAGACTGAAGGAGCAAAAGAAAAAATAATAACAAAATTGAATATGATCCTAGCATATTCTATTATGTAATATTATGTTAAGGAGGTTCGGGACAGTTACCAGGGGGGTTAGGGTAAGGGGAAAGTGCCTATGCTTTAACATAGGATGAAATCAGTGGTGCAAACTGTAGATAACTGAATTCAATGTTCTGTATTATTGTACTTAGATGAGTATGAACTGGTAAAAATGATGAGAATTGAACATTCATCACAAGTATCTACTCCTAATATGCGTTAGTCGTCAATTTTTATGTTTTTATTTGAATTATGAAAGTACGAATTGGAGGTAACGATCTGGCAACATAGCATACTTCGAAATTTTTTTTTTCTTAAGTTGTCTGCACTGCGCATGCGTGCACAGAGCAGGCGAGTGACACGACACGAGGCGGTTGGAGCAGCTGCGTGTACATATCCTAACCTGCAGTTGTTTACGAGGTGTGTTCAAAAAGTAAGGTGACTTTTCAAATTTCACTGGCAACGTACTTTCGATTATCTATTTTTGGTTTTGTTATGTTGGTACACTCTTCCCGAACATCTGTACCAAGTTTCAAGTGTATAGCATTTTTTGTTTGGTTGTGAGAGGCGTAAAGGTTATAAGTGTTTTGTGTGCTCGGCGATTTCTTGCTATCGAAAAATATGAATCAAAGGATTTGCATCAAATTTTGTGTAAAAAATAAAATAAAGTGCTCCGAAACACTTGAAATGTTGACGGTGGCATACGGTGAAACTGTTCTGAGTAAAAAAAATGTTTACAAGTGGTACAAACTCTTCCAAGATGGCCGGGAAGATGCCAATGACGAGCCTCGCTCTGGACGCCCAAGCACGTCAACAACTGATGAAAATGTTCAAGCAGTGAAGAAAATTGTTCTGGAAAATCGTCGAATCACTATCAGAGAAGTTGCTGAGGATGTTGGTATATCGCTTGGCTCGTGCCATGAAATTTTTTCTAACGTTTTGGGCATGAGACGTGTGTCAGCGAAGTTTGTTCCGAAATTGCTAAATTTTGACCAAAAGAACCGTCGCATGAGCATCGCTCAAGAACTGTTGAATGACGTCAACGACGACCCAGATTTACTCAAAAGGGTCATAACTAGTGACGAATCATGGGTATATGGTTATAATATCGAAACCAAAGTCCAATCGTCCCAATGGAAGAGCCCAGATGAGCCAAGACCGAAAAAAGCACGCCAAGTTCGATCAAATGTCAAAGTTTTGCTCACTGTTTTTTTCGATTACCATGGCGTGGTGCATCAGGAGTTCTTACCATATGGACGTACGATCAATAAACAGTATTATCTTGAAGTTATGCACCGTTTGCGAGAAGCAATACGAAGAAAACGCCCAGAATTGTGGAAAAACAACTCATGGCTTTTGCATCACGATAATGCCCCTGCTCACTCATCTTTGCTTGTGAGAGATTTTTTGGCCAAAAACAACACCACAATCATGACTCAGCCACCATATTCACCGGATTTGGCCCCATGTGACTTTTTCTTGTTCCCAAAACTAAAGAGACCTATGAAAGGACGGAGATTTGCAACGATTGAAGAGATAAAGACTGCATCGCTGGAAGAGCTCAAGGCTATACCGAAAAGTGCTTATGAGAAGTGCTTTGAGGATTGGAAAAACCGTTGGCATAAGTGTATTGTATCTGAGGGGGATTACTTTGAAGGGGACAACATAAATATTGATAAATAAATAAATATTTTTTCTTAAAAATACAAAGTCACCTTACTTTTTGAACACACCTCGTATATTGTGATTGTATCGAAACACCTATCAATACCGGCTACGGTAAATATATCTATATAGTGTTTGCGATGTTGCCGCACTTCATTAGTTAGCACCATGAGCTTGGATCAAGCTAGAAAATTTTTATACTAAAATTACTATTATTTAATCGAAATCACGGTAAGCCATGAGTTTAAACACATAAAAACAATCATCGATTAATTCTCTTTCAAACCGTCTTTACAAATTCAAAATCTGTGCTTTTTTCATCAAGTTATTCCCATAAGATGAAGTCAATTTACTCATCTACACGAGAAGTCTATTTAAAACTATGCTAACTATACGCATTAATTTCTCCAAAACTACGCGGTCAAACATTTAAAAAAAAATCAGACATCAATGTTACGTCATACTCTACCATAGTTTTCAATTTCATGAAAATCTGTACATTTTCATGACACTCCTGAACCTCCTTAACCCATTAAGGCCCAGGCCAAACCTGGGAAAGATAGCGCCAAACTAACTATGCCAATCGTAGCTAAATCGTAAAAAAATACCCGTGTTTTTTTTTTGTCATTTTCAATTGTTTATAAAAAATTATTTAAACAAATTATCAAAAAGTTATTATTTTCAAAAAACTGATAGCGGCAATCGATTCTACGGGAAATAAGATGAAAGAAATGTATATAACGTTTTTTTGTCAGACGTCAATTTGTTAGTGTAAAATGGCTATAAACAATTGCAAGTCTGTCAGGTACCTGTGTATACGCCAAATCCCAAGCAAAATCTATTGCCGATAGCGCCAAACTAACTATGCCAATCGTAGCTAAATCGAAAAAAAAAATACCCCTGTTTTTTCTTTTGCCGTTTGCAATTGTTTATAAAAAATTATTTAAACAAATTATCAAAAAGTTATTATTTTCAAAAAACTGATAGTGGCAATCGATTCTACGGGAAAAAACATGAAAGAAATGTATATAACGTTTTTTTGTCAGACGTCAATTTGTTTAAGAAAATAGGACAGAAAGCTTTGAATTTTCACAAATTGTACATTTGGAAATTTGACTAACATAGTAATTGTTGGGTTACAAAGTTGCAAAGAGTTTGCAAAATTTTTTTTCTATTGAAACCGTGTTAGAGATCACGTTTGAGTGGCGGGCTAACGGTTTTATGTAATATTATGGATTCAATTTTCATTACAAAAGTTTTTAGTATATTTGGACATTTCTAGTACATTTATTTTACAGTTATTTGTTTTTGGAACAAATTGACATTTGACAAAAAAACGTTATATACATTTCTTTCATGTTTTTTCCCGTAGAATCGATTGCCGCTATCAGTTTTTTTAAAAATAATACCTTTTTGATAATTTGTTTAAATAATTTCTTATAAACAATTGCAAACGGCAAAAGAAAAAACAGGGGTATTTTTTTTTCGATTTAGCTACGATTGGCATAGTTAGTTTGGCGCTATCGGCAATAGATTTTGCTTGGGATTTGGCGTATACACATGTACCTGACAGACTTGCAATTGTTTATAGCCGTTTTACACTAACAAATTGACGTCTGACAAAAAAACGTTATATACATTTCTTTCATGTTTTTTCCCGTAGAATCGATTGCCGCTATCAGTTTTTTAAAAATAATACCTTTTTGATAATTTGTTTAAATAATTTCTTATAAACAATTGCAAACGGCAAAAGAAAAAACAGGGGTATTTTTTTTTTTCGATTTAGCTACGATTGGCATAGTTAGTTTGGCGCTATCGGCAATAGATTTTGCTTGGGATTTGGCGTATACACATGTACCTGACAGACTTGCAATTGTTTATAGCCGTTTTACACTAACAAATTGACGTCTGACAAAAAAACGTTATATACATTTCTGTCATGTTTTTTCCCGTAGAATCGATTGCCGCTATCAGTTTTTTGAAAATAATAACTTTTTGATAATTTGTTTAAATAATTTTTTATAAACAATTGAAAATGGCAAAAGAAAAAACACGGGTATTTTTTTTTTCGATTTAGCTACGATTGGCATAGTTAGTTTGGCGCTATCTTTCCCAGGTTTGGCATGGGCCTTAATGGGTTAATATAAACTCCCTGTTGCTTGGTTTTACAAATTTTTAACTACAAAATAATTGTATTTATTTATCGATCAAATATGAACACAATCGATTTACATGGTAGACAAAGTACTGGACTAAGAAGCATATGCTTTTAGATGAAGATGGTTCTCTAAAATTAAAACTAATTTGGCTCCTTTGGTGTATTTTCGAAGATATTGTTAAGGGTTTAAAGAATATGAATTAATCTTCGTTTGAACACTATTTCTTTTTATATAATTGATTTTCAAATTTATTATATGTGTCAAAACATTTTAAAAGTTTTGCTTAAAAATCATCCTAATCATTTGAAAAATTTCGGTCTAATATAATTATATTTAACGGACTATTGATTTATTTTTGTTATTAGAGTGATGCTGGGTTGACTGGTCGTAAAATCATAGTAGATACATATGGAGGATGGGGTGCTCATGGTGGTGGAGCTTTCTCTGGCAAAGATTTCACCAAAGTTGATAGATCTGCTGCATATGCTGCTAGGTGGGTAGCCAAATCATTAGTCAAAGCTGGTCTTTGTAGGCGATGTTTAGTACAAGTAAGTATAATGATAATTTTGTTTTATATCCAATATTCTTCTAAATATTTCTAAATATTTTCTTTCTACAGGTATCTTATGCCATTGGAGTCGCTGAGCCTTTATCTATTACTGTATTTGATTATGGTACATCAAAGCTCTCGCAAAACCAATTGTTAGATATAGTCAATAAAAATTTTGACTTACGTCCAGGAAAAATTGTTAAGTGTGTATATTTCATTACTAATTTTTAGTTGCAATATAAATAAATTTCTTCAAATCGTTGAGGGAATCACTAATATTTACTATTCATTCTTTAGGGAACTCAATCTTAGGAATCCAGTTTATCAAAAAACAAGCACGTATGGGCACTTTGGAAGAGATTGCTTTACCTGGGAACAACCGAAACCATTGAATATCGATTGATGAGACTCTTGTTCTAGAATTATTTGATATTTTGGATTAAGAATGCCTATTTGTTACTTATCCAATCTGATTTCTACAAATTTTTTTCAGCTTTATTTTACTTTTATTTCAAAGTTCCTTTTCTTGTCTTTCTACTACAAATATTTCATGTCACTTATAACTTTCCTACGTGAAAACTTCCTTCTAACAAATACATACATAAAATTAAGATGATAATATTACATAGAAAATCAGACTCCATTGATAAAGCATGGTACAGAAAACTTTATTAGCTTCAATACATCTTTCAATAATATTATTATTCGAACATTACGTACGGAATACATTGTATAAAAGATAAACACGTTATTTGGGAAATTAATTTGAAGATTTGTTATTAAATTATTAATGGAGAAAGATTCATATACCAAACACGATACAATTCAAAGCAGTGATTTGTACTAAGATTCTCCTCTAAATGACTTCGTTTTTACAAGTTAAACTAAAAAGCGGGAGACATGTAACATTCAGTCATATAAATACCGTTAACGTTAAGTTACGTTATTTTCTTCAGTTTTTTTATAAGAACATACATGAATATGACACATATAATAGTAGATAAAAGACTTCAACATTCGTGAACGAAACTACATTATTCGGTAATTTCGGTATAGTTTATGTTTTAATAATTCTTTCAACAAAAGATATGAAATTGGCCAAAAAAGGATAATGCAAATTGTCCTTTCAAATAATTTTTCTTTGATAATCATTCATAATTTTATCACATTTATGATATATCATTCATTTTTAATCAAAGAGTATCGTGAGAAAGTATGCAATTTACATGTCAAACAATTGGTATTTCATACTAATAAAAACGTATTTTTAAAAATATTACCATTATTTTGAAACGAGATAAGTATTCGAGTAATGTAGAATTTTACTTGAAGAACATTTTAATGACTGTATAAACGCACATTGCTTTTTTCATGTTTTTATTCAAAACAGGCTTCATTTTTTTTACAGTTATATAAAAACTTATATTTGATTTCGGATGGAGTGGTATTGGATATTTTTAAGATAAATATGTTCAGTATAATAAGTTAAATCTTCCGATAAAAATAGTATTGTTAGTTAAAATTTGAAAAATTGTGGCAACAAATAGTAATCTAAGTAGTTTATCACCTATAACAGTTGATAAATTAGTTGAACAAGGTTTTGTTTTTATTGTTCTTACATTTATGCTTGATTAATTAGAGGGAACAAATTAGAAGAATAATTTCCCGGATGACGCGATTTATCGTTCTTCAGTCTTGCAGTTATTATCATCTGTCCCCCCTCCCCTTCTTCCTCCCTTGTAAAAATGTAAAATAGCGCTGAAACTACAATTGTAAAATAAAAGTTGTCATGAAATCAAAATAGTCCCGCACTTAGTTGCCATGATTTTTCATAAATACTTTACCAAGAATGAATTTTAAATCAGTAGATATATACAATTTGTAAATCATTCAATTATTTTACTATCAGCAACAAAATCAAATTACGAATTCAATTAATTAACTCCTCAATATTCAATCATATTTTATTGAAATTAATATTTAATATGTCCACGCAATGTATGGGTTAAAAAATACTCAGAACTTTGCTAACATAAAATTCAATTATTTATAGTGTTTTATAAGCAATTGTAAATGAAAATTAACGATAATACGTGATTTCAATGCTCTTATTATTAATACAATATATCATTTCTAGTATGTAAATAATGAAAATGCAAATAACATAATTTTACAGCGCAATTTTTGAAAAAATACAATGCATTAATTCCTGCATTTTCAAAATCGATGTAAAACTTACAGACAATAAATGAAAGACTTGCCGTAAATAAATCTATAGCACTTGAAGAATGCATGTCCATGAGGAGACGTATAGGATAGAAAGATATATTTAAAAATAGATAATATATGTCTAAGTTCCTTAGTACCTACAGAAGACATCTCAAAGTAAATTGATACTCTATCTGTATAGATTGGAGAGCGATTCGCAATATGTACAGTAGTTTGAACAACCAAATTCCAATTAAAAATTGAAAGAAATACGTGATGTTGAAATATTCTGGTCTACACTTTGATAGCAAGTTTCAGTATTCTATCTCTTTCGATTATTATTACAAGCTTTCTACCCTTTAATTATTTTCTCATAATTCGGAGGAGATATTAGGGAAACTTTATTTCTTCCACTTATAATGGAGATTCCATCAAGCTCCTAGCTAATAAAGTTGACGACCTTGGAGCTTCTGTGGTCGAAAATTTGATATTAGTAACTCTTGACATCTAGTGCTATCATAGCGTAAAATCCTTCAGGGCTTGGTTACTCTATTACTTACTTTCTTCAATACTTTCCGAACGTTATACTGGTTCGGGAAAAATTCTTTTGCTTCCCTCATAAGTTATTTGCCTACCTCTTTTGCAGGAGAGTGAAGAATCACTCTCCTTTCAGTGGTTTTAACGACAGTAGTCAACCGATTTTTTCAAATTTTGCATATTTTTTGGAAATATAGAAATGCAAATTTGTCCATTTTTTTTGTATATTTTAATATTAATTGAAACATAATTTATTAACTCGTGAAAAAAATGTAAAATTTTTTGGCATCAATAATTTGAAAACTAATAATAATGGCGGGATGTAAATTCAGAAATATACGGGTAAAACTTTCGAAATAGATAGTATAAGTGAAGAAAATAAGAATTTGTTTACAAAGTTATTAACTTGAATTTTATGCAATTGTAAATATTAAAAAAAAAATGTTTTTTCTTCTATTACTTCCTACTTTTGCGTATTTTTAAAGTATTTTGTATTAAAATCAATAATTACATTTTTACTGCCCGCCAATAGACAAATAACATCAGCAAATGAAAAGAGACCCTAACCTCGGCAGTGAAATGCGTGCTCACGGCAGGGCAGCGTCTAGCGCTGACAGTTGTCCAAGCTGAATCAAGAAAGTTATTAAATCTAACAAATTTGTGCTTTTCTAAATACTTTATTCAACTATTTTGACATATTTTGGCGTGTAGACAATTATACACAATTTTATTATACACAAATTATTGTGCACAGTAACGTAGTGTAACAACTAATACACGCTGATTCACGCCATATTACTTTTGACAATAGTTTTATATATAATGAAACTGTGTACAATTGTCCGCGCGCTAGTATATTTTTTAAATTTATTTGTAAATTTAGAAAAAAATATATTTGTAAATTTAGAAGAATTAAAGTTTCATATTTTAGCCATTCAAAAAGAATGACATCATGAAAGGATTGAGTGTTACTTATAGTTTTGTCAATTAAAAATCTATATTTTAATTCTTTTTCATGTTTTCATGGTCTTATTTTGCAATTCATTAAATTTGTACTGGGCATTCCTTCTAAAGTCATGCAGCCTTTATTGCAGAATCTTTGAAATGATTCACTAGATTAACCCTTTGACTGCAGAAGGCGTACACTACCGTCCATAAAGATTTGCCATCCCCTTGCTGAAATCATCAAAACTTTAGAGTTTTATGGCTCAGTTTCTATAAGAGCTAGAAAATCCTGCGGGGTCTCATTTGAAAGGTCTTGCCAAGACCTCTCAAATGTTGTAAAACATAATTGATTTTATTTGTTTTTTGTACAACTTGTGACATCATAAACAAATTGTTTTTTTTTAATTTTTTCATATCAACTTCGACCCCGATTTATATATATAGCAGATTCTACGATGGAAAAACTGTATAAGCCATTCGATAGAGCTTTCAAAAAGCTACAAAATCCATATCCGGAAAATTTTTTTACCTTTATTTTTTATGAGCTTATGGTGTTTTATACAAAAACAAAGATTTTCAAAAAATGGGCTGTATTTTTTTTATTTTCAACTCTAAAGAAAAAACACTCAGAAGAAAAAATGTAGTATTTTGCAAGAGCTATCAAATGCGCCACTCAGAATTTAAAAAAAAACAATTTTTTTTCACGTTTTTTAGAATTGAAATTTTTCTAGAAAAAAAACTGAAATTACACATATTTAATAAAATTAGTAAGTAACTAGTATTTATAACTGAATGGGCTTACAAACAATGATAACAAGATACATTTACTGTATTCGACGTTTGTAACAGAGGAATTTGCATTGTTTTCATTTTTAATGACTTTCTACAGTATTGTGCTGACCGATAATCACTGTGATAATCACTGAGTGTTTACGTGGTTTGATTTACTTGACTTTTATGAATGTATACATATAGCAGAGAATACTTATGGAAATTCAGTCTCTTATCAGCTTTAATGAGTGAAATATCAATGTGTCCAATCTAGTCAGTAAATTATGCATGTATTTTTTGTTCATTAAAAATGACGAAAAAAAGAAACTTAAGCATTGAAGAGCGATCTGAGATAGTAGCCTTGCATAAAGTGAATAAAAGTAATAATGAAATTTCTAAAATTTTATTATTATTATTGAAACGTTGTAATAAATAAATTTTGTAGAAAAATTGTAACTAAATTATGTTAATCTATTCTGAGTAAGTAATAAATTATGGTTCAATAAATGTATCTTGTTATCATTGTTTGTAATAAGCCCATTCAGTTATAAATACTAGTTACTTACTAATTTTATTAAATATGTGTAATTTCAGTTTTTTTTCTAGAAAAATTTAAATTCTAAAAAAACGTAAAAAAAAAAATTTTTTTTTTAAATTCTGAGTGGCGCATTTGATGGCTCTTGCAAAATACTACATTTTTTCTTCTGAGAGTTTTTTCTTTAGAGTTGAAAATAAAAAAAATACAGCCCATTTTTTGAAAATCTTTGTTTTTGTATAAAACACCATATAGCTCATAAAAAATAAAGGTAAAAAAATTTTCCGGATATGGATTTTGTAGCTTTTTGAAAGCTCTATCGAATGGCTTATACAGTTTTTCCATCGTAGAATCTGTTATATATATAAATCGGGGTCGAAGTTGATGCGAAAAAATTAAAAAAAAACAATTTGTTTATGATGTCACAAGTTGTACAAAAAACAAATAAAATCAATTATGTTTTACAACATTTGAAAGATCTTGGCAAGACTTTTCACATGAGACCCCGCAGGATTTTCTAGCTCTTATAGAAACTGAGCCATAAAACTCTAAAGTTTTGATGATTTCAGCAAGGGGATAGCAAATCTTTATGGACGGTAGTGTGTATATACGCCCTCATAAATCCATCAATTTATACAACAAGCGTATATATACGCTCTCTTTTTAAAATTTTTTACCCTAAGAATGGCCTCAAATATCCTGGTACTGTGTTAGTCATTGTAAGTGTCTACTAGTCGCAGCGACTGATAAGCGAAAAACGCGCCGCCCGTATAGATGGATTCGTCCGAGAGTCAAAGGGTTAATAAGATTGTACTCGTTTTTATATTGTCTCGGTGCTTTATTACATATGTCATTGATTTTATCGACAAAATTTTTATGTGTATGTACCAAATATTTCAGAAAACCCCAAATTCGCCATAATCTCATTCTCTTACGAATTCGCTTTTCAACTTTTCGCATATTCACTTTTACTGGTTGTATTATAATCATCTACACTAATTGTGTCTATAAAAAGTAAATATAATTCATGAAAAAAAATTAGTTATTTATTGTTTCACATCGATTAGCTTAAAATTGAATCTACGGCGATACCTTCTTCTTTAGTGACTATCTTTTTCCATTTCTCAAATGTTATTCCAGTAATTAAATCACCTTTAAAATAACGTAATAATCTGTTTCTTATTACACCAAAGTCAGGACAATCTCAACATTCATTGCATCGAGAGCCATTACTGCCATTACCTTTTATTTTTAATTTCACTACATTCATTCTCAACTTTATATTTTATAAAGTAATAAATCTAGGCGCAAACATTATGTAAAATTTTTCGATCATTCTTTAAAATATTTTGTTTATGGCAAAACTGACAAAATGCAGAGAAGACAATATTTATCCTAGGATATTTTTTTTCTTAAAAAGTACGTAAATCCTGTAACAAGGATTTTACTCAAACCAACTCGAAATAAAATCCGAAACATACATTTAATTAATTAATTTACGGACTAAAAATCTTTGCGGTTGGTGGTTTTCTCCAAAGCGACTCTGCTGCTGCACAGACGTTGCCTAGGTCCAGCTCCCTGAAGTTGCCTCCTTCCTTGATAGAGTAAATCGTAAAGTGTTACGAGCTACGCGTTAATAAAGCGAATGATAACTAAGAGAAACGTAGTGCAAACAATGACGTTGCCGAGTGGTTAAGGAAAAGCAGGAGCATTAATTAAATAAAACGCATAAACTTTTAGACAAATAAACCGATGTATTTAACAAAGAGAAAATAAACAACAACAAAGATAGGTATTTTCGGCATACAAAAAAGCACTGTGCATACGTAGCGCAGGTTGATGCAATGCAAGCACACATTACGTTGTGAGCTGCAGCGAATAATAGCGGCAAGTGAACTGACAGAGTGTACAAGAAAGCGAGCGAATGCATTTAACTCAACCGCGGTCACGAAATACACGCAGCAAATATCAATTCACGGTGATATACGCAAAACAATAGAGAAAAATAGAGGCGATAAGCGAACGGTAAATAAAATGCAAGCCAGAGAGAAGGAGAGAGAAAGCCACGTTACGAACTAGTACTTACAGTACTTCGTTGTACGTCGAATTTCGATAGCGCGCACGCTTTACACAATACTTTTCCTCCTTGGCCTTAGCTCCAACGCTTCTCCAAATACGTAGCGTGATCGCCTTTCTATGCACTAATCTGTTGACTTTAAATTGGTCCTCTGATTGCTTTTAGCGTATAGTCGCAGGCACG